AAAATATATGGATGGTTTTCCTCTGCTCAGCAACTCTGCTGCATTTTCCCCTTCTCGATACTCTTCTGTGCAGCTCTTGCACCCTTTTTTACCAGGAGCAAAAAAGATTAGTTAGCAATCTCTGTTGTAACGTGAACGACGCTATGCAATCGAATAGTATTAAAAGATTTCGACATTTACGTATAATGAGAGGAATATTTATAGCATAGTAAAAACAATTGTGTCTCTCATTGTAGCTGCCGAAATGAATCCGAACCTATTTCAACATTCTCTCATGTTATTGACATATATTGTTAATTCTGGATATGTTTAGATTCTGATGAATATTCCTGAAATCATCTTGCTTACCGACAAAGCCTCTACGAGATAATGACTTCAGGAGGTATCAATGAGCCAACGAAAGAAGAATTACATCTCTCTTATACCGAAGTCAGTAAGTTCTGTCAGAAGTATCAAAATAACTCAGCGATTGATATCAATAAAATAAATCATTTTTCGCGTTCGTTTGTGAGTTTAGCTTTGTACTGTACGTGCTACGTGGCACTTATTTTATTTATTATTAAGATTTTTATTCGGTGATTTTTCAGAAATGTTAAGAAGGACTTCTGGAAATGTCTGTGCCTTTTAGCCACAGCGGATGATCGAGCATTTTATTTAGAAACTAGGCAGCTATGATTGTGCTAAACATAATCTTAATTTAATGTAGTTTAGAGATCAATATCTATTCGACCTCTGAGGTGGCGCCACTGAACATTGCTTGATTCGATATACTTCAAAGTGTTTCTAAATTCTTACTTCTTCACTAATATGACAGTGAAGACTTTAGCAGCCCCTCGTATACAAATAACTTTACTAGAATGTAGTGACTCGAAAACCTTTAAAAAGGTATATACCTTTTTCGAAAGGTTAAAAGCGGTGTCACTTCAAGCGGGCTTTAGTTACCTGACGAACCGTTACACTTCGTTTTAGTTTTTACTATATATAGTGCCTATTGTATTATGTTTTTCACTGAAGCAATCTTGAGACCAGGTGTGTAAAGGAATTCATCGTAGGAATATTTGCAATACATATAGGTTCTTTAAAATACTGAAGTCTATCATTCTTGCACTAACCACTCGACTCCCATTCGGTTCCGTCTTTCTTGCACCGTATTTCTAGGGTTTTTACCCTCTTCTTTGATTTTTTTATTGGCACCGTTAAGCTAGTATTCTTTGTTACTAGTAAGCTAGTACAGTGTGGTAATGTCGCAAATCAAAACTAGTCTCCGTAGAATAATAGGTAGCTTTATATACTGATACTTTAATTGTCACAGCTCCCAAAAAGCGTTTTTATCTCCGTTGCTAAATTCGCTTGTTTCACACCGATCTGCGGCAATCGAAACCTGGAGTGGTGTAACCGGCTATGCAACGTTATTAGATTCAAATCATCTTTTTGACCAAACACTAAATTCCCCCGACGTTTCTAGAAAAACGAGAGAAACTCCTGGCGTATTTCGCTTCAGGAGATTCGGCCTATAACTAGGTCATAGTAAAAGTCCCTGCTTTGTGTGCTGGCATGTGTCCTTGAGAAAATCGTTTGGAAAAGGAACCTCGCTCCTTCAACAGCTGTCAGGTCGTACAAAACAAACCCTAACACCTTCCTTCGCACGATGTGGAATACATTGGTTCGACTGTAGTCAAGGGTTACACGAGACGTTGGTGGCAGTATTATGTTTGCGCTCACTGGTTGTGTAACCCTGGTTGATAGTAATACAAAATATCTAACGATATTGTTTTTGTAAATGCTGAATCACTCTTACTAACTAACGAAGCAAATTCCTTCTAAGGAGTTTGTTAAATTGTTAATAACAAACTAGTGATTATGGGTAGGACCCGCGTTCGAAAAGTTTATAAATTGTTTTTTTTACCCGTTTTACCTCTAAATGACGAATCAAGACCAGTTGTTATTATCACTGTTAAGTTGCAATATCAGGTCACTCAATTGATGCCAACTCCACCAAATCATTTTTCTAATAGGCAGACAAATAGACTAAGTGGCTAAACCTTATATAGAAACAACTCTGATAAGTGATAAATGTGTATGTAAAAACAAAGCTATATTGACTGTAGAATGAAACTCGAACAATGTTAACTAGGCCAATACTAGGTTCATTTTGTTCAAGTGTTCAAGCCGCTGTCTTCGTTATCCGAAGAAATTTGCATTTCAAATGAGTTTGAGAAAGAACGAAAAGGTTTTGTCCAGGTCAGGTCGAGTCGCAGAATCGACCATGCCATAAGATGTCAATTACATTGGTGCCAAGCTAATGAACTATAGAACTACGTAACAATTAAGTTATCAGTTAGTTATTTCCTACATGGCAGGTGTGTCAATATGTCAAAATATATGAAAAGCATGTCAAATTTTGTTCATTGCATATATATATTTCGCAAATTCAGGAATTTTTAAACCTGAACATCTATGTTATTGAGCTCCGTATATGTTTTAGGCATTACTTAGTATGAAGAAGTGCCGGATACCACTTTCGCCATAGACTATAAGTTCGATATAAAGAAAAATGATTGATGTGAAATCATGGACGTTGTAATAAATGGAATCGCCCCTTCTACATACTTCAGCGAATCAATACGGACAAAGCAAGAACGTTCTTGACATCAACTGCCATCTACATGAAATATTAGATTTACCGGGGCCACTGGACACTTGAACATTGTCCGATTGGATGGAGGCGTTTCTGACGTCGTTGGTCTTCCCTTTGACAACGAGGGACAATGGAACCGCTATGCCAACTACAAAGTGATCTAAAGCTAGAATACGTACACTATTTTTTACCTTTGAGACGCGTCTGTCCCGTACAATCTTACGTTAGTCTCACTGATCCGTTCAGTCGTTTTCCTCACATTAATACCCGAGATGTGTGTGCGCGTGCGTGCGTGCGTGCGTGTCTGCGCGTGTGTACTACATACACCTAAGTCTGTATATTTATTCGTATAAGACTAATATAGAGAATGAAGCTTTTATTGAACCTGCCAAATCGCTTTATTACTCGATCTGGTAAAAAAACGCACCATGTAAAGTACTATCAGTAGAGTTAAGCTTGAACGTTGCCTTAATCTGCCGACTGGCTTTCCTGCGTTGACGATATTGTGAGACCTCTTGTGGCGTATCTAACTAGCCTGAATGTTCGCTTAATGATGATGACGACAGTCCTTTGTACTGCTACACCGCCTTGGAACGAAAAAGGCATCATATATAATATATGTGTCAGGGGAGTTTTGTCTCAATTTTTGAATTTTTTATAGAATTATCTATCTGTCTGTCTACCTAGTAGATCGCCGGCTACAGTCTGTTCATCCATCACTCTGATGCAAGGGTTGCTATCGCATCATCTGACGTGTGCTGAAGACCTGCTCAGACCAGTTAGCTTGTCCACAGCTAGTCAATCCGGTATATGAACTAATCTGAAGAGCGGTATGTACATAGGTACGCACGGTTTTCGTCATCGATTCATTTAAATACAATAGAATGTATATATGCCAACAGAAACATCTGTCGCGGGGTGCCGTATGTTTCGATTACAGCTTTTGTAAGTCGCAAACAACATCATTTTCTGAAACTCCTTTCATGTATTTGCCGTGAATTTTTTTTTGTAGTAAACCAAACATGGTAGATACAAAAAATCTAGTGCTAGGCTCATAAAAAATTCAATGGCACAAAAGCATAGCAGTCCAAAAATGACCAACCGTTAGGATGTGCCCTAGGCGGCCTAATCTAAAATGGTTTCTTATTGATCACTTTAACATACTGTCGAGTTCTTTCAGTATTGCAGATTTTCTATATCTGGGCTAACAGTACTGCGTGTATAGATTGATCAATATTTAGGGGTAGTCTTATCGGTGAAAGATAATGCTAATAAATAATAATGATTAAAAAATGTTCGAAAACTTTGTATTTGAAGCCTGCTTGTTTTCAAAGCAAAATACGCAATTAATTCCATTTATCAAAAACTTCTGATTTTGGACATTTTCTGTAATTCAAACGTTTCGACCATATGGTACTTAGTTGATAAATATGTTGATGCGAAGTCAAAAAATGCAACAAATAGAATGAGGAAACAAAATAAGTACACAGGGTGTCGATATTTAAAGGAAGTTCGAACGGGGAAGCAGATATACTCATTATGTGTGTTAAATAAGGTCGTAGACTGGCCTTCGGCAGCCGATCGAATAGTTAATTTATACGCACAGATGCGATAGAGTAAAATTTGTTTGGAAGATTTAGAATTGTAACAAGGTGTAAACGGTTGCGATACGACAGTTGGAATCAGACGAGTGAGATATTCTCATAGAAAAGCTGGATCATTTTAGTAACGAAATGAATGCAGCACGCAGGTAGCAAGTCATTGAGACAGAGTAACCGCACTAACATGGCGGAATCACTGAAATATGAAAAATTAAAAAAATGGCTGAAATAGAATTACTGCAACCGCAGAGCTGCGACAGGATAATGGAATAGGTCTCAGGGGAATTTTCAAAGGCACTGGTGTGCAGTCAAGCCATAATTGGCGTGATGTTCCGCATAACTCCAAACGCATACGTTTATATGAACGTAGGCTTATCAGCTAACCGTCCCGAGTTAATAAAATTGTTAAAACTTCAGTTTGAGGCTTATTATTGCTATAGTGTAGAAGTAATGGCTATAGGTTACGTTGACAAAAATACTCACTTCAAGAGGATAATCGGAGAGTCGGATCAGGGTAAGGGGATTACAGAGACAATTAACTCAGTGAATCAGGGAGACAAAGTTACCGTCTACAACGGGACATTATATTGGTTTTAACACAAGTTAACTTCGTTAATCCTCTAACATGCTGATGAAGTAACTGTACTATAGGATTATTGAAGTGTTCGCCGATAATTTAGTAGGACAATGGCGGGCATGAAACGGGCTAGATATTTGCCACGCAGTAATGATTTATTATACGTCAGCTATAATATTCGTAAGAGCGAGTACGGCATTAATGAATCGAATTAATTAAACAGCGGCAAACTATGCGCGGGCCGAACCCCACGGATAGCTTCCCAAAAAACCAGTCTATTCAACTTGTATTGTGTGTAGATCTTTAATGCATAAGTATCGCCAACGACGAGCGTGCGTCCAATAGCGATATATCCAAAACAATGTGTCTGTTACAATCAGAAAAATACTGTTTTCCTTTGTTTGGTACAATCGTTACATAAAATTGAATATATTGTAAAGCATGCTGTTAAGATACAGAAGAACATAAGCACAAGTTTCTTCTCACTTTGTTCTGAATTTTACAGTACGACAATTACAGTCCAAATATCACGTTCTTATTTAATGCAAAATGATGTGTACTATCAAAGAGATACAATATACGGCCGTATTATTATTGTTGTTGTTATTATTGCTGACATTGATGTGATTTGTTTCGACTATGGCCACGAGTATTATTACTATTACAATATTTATTTTGTTTTTATTTCGATTACTGAAAAGCCGACAATATTTGGCTGTACCTTAAACAATAACATAACGTCTATAGAATTACTATATAAAAAAACTAGTAAATATTGCTAGCATTATTTTAAATACGAAACGCTAGTTAACACAAGGCCACGCTAAGAAAGAAAGCTTTTGGCTAGCAGAAACTAGAGAGGCCATATGTACAAATGATAGCTATTGCTGCTAATGAAATGACAACCGACCAAAAGCAGCCTAAGGTTCCTTTAAATACATTTTCAATGACTTTTTCATGTCGTTGTCTCGCTTCATTGAGCACTGGCTTTTGGCAAGTTTTGACACAAATAAAGGGCTTGCCATGAGACCGAGAAATAACCTGGAGGGGCTTCCGCGCCTTCAAGGCTATCTGCTCTCGGATACAATGGGTGACATTTAAATACTGAGAAACTTTACATGCTTTTAAATGGTTTTGTACTATAAAAGCTTTGTCAGGCGACCGAGATTCATTCAAGGTGGTCCATTCCGGATTTGGTGCTACGTTCTGCTTTTTTTCCACGGTAAGTCCAAGTAAAATCAAGATGTCATTCCTGGAGACGACGACCATTTCACTCGACCGTACGCGATCTACTATTGCTTTATTGTAGGAAGAAGTACAATTCAGTAAAGAACTGCTCCTCGATGGCTGAAGTTGCTCTTTACAGATTCGTGGCGATGTGCTGACTGCCAGCATGCAACCATCGTTTTCATTTGACACACCGGTACGGAGTTGATGGGAGGCCGCAAGAAGGCAAAGTGTCTTTTCCTCAGACACCTGTCGATTAGTCTCACTGTTAACGTCATCACCAGTTGTAAAAAGTTGAGAGAACGACTCAAAGCTGACATCTAAAGATGTTTGTAGCTGAGAGTTTACAAACAGCGGAGTGCTGCTCCGCCGATAGGCCTCATATGAGATCTCCTCCTAAAGGATAGAATGCATAAGACAATTTAGATACAAGGTAAATTAATACGAATAGGTAAATAAATACGAAAACTAATGTCTGTTTAACTTCTGTAATATTTCGCATACATTGCAGCTAAGAGTAGCGGTCACCTTTACGAAGCAGCTTGCGAGTTTTTTTTGCAATGCTGGCATTTTAAATTCGAGAAGAATCTTTAGCATTTTTGTTAGAAATGTTCAGTTAACCGATTTTTCGAGTGAAACCGTGTACTGTAATATATTAGAACGACAAAATAGGAATTTTTTCAATTATTAAATCAACCAAAGCGAAGCAATCAGCCTGCCAGGCCGAAATCAGCCTCTTTTATAACCTAACTTGTTTAAATGCGCGGAAAGAGTCCATGAAGAGATGTTCGTTGGTGCTCTCATTGAGGTACAGGACACTGAATAGTTCACCAGGAAAGGAAGTACTCAAATCACTTCCATACGTCGTATCCAACGTTGGCGATGAGCTAAAAAGCGTACGTATAAGGCGTTTATTCGCATACAATCATAGCCTTTTTGTGTGTTAACGAAACAGTACGATAGTGTTTTAATTTGAACTCGTTTATCGATTCAAAGTTTAACTCGAACGTTATGGGCTGCCAAGCAGAAAAGATCCAGTATAACTGTTGTTCAACGCTCTACAAACAAGAGCTAAAATTGAAGATAAAATCGATGCAAATAAGTGATCGTATAATACCGAAACGTATGCACATTTTCTTCAAAACGCGAGTTACTGTGAAAGGGCGACGTCAGGCACATCTTATTAACAGATACAGAACTTGCACTTGGTCCTTATTTTAGATCGCTCAATTTGAAACATAGCATAATAAACCCTATCCTCTCAAAGTTTTTCCTCACCGGCTTTGTTCTCTCAACTCTAGTCAAAATATATACCGCTATTATTTATGATTTTCAGTTATTCAGATAATAATGTATTTATCCCGTTAATGTAGAAGTCTGAGATACGAGAGCTGATGACGTCTTGAAACATAATGTCGACACGTTGATGGGATTTTCATAATTATCCTGTCAAGACGTTGTCAAAATTTTGTTTAATCTGATTAGACATCTAACGAGTGTGTGGTTTTACGGAGAATCTTAGGCTATAACTCTTGAATTTTTGCTAGTAACGTTGTTGCAAGGTGGAGGTCGGCCGTTGTCACGTAACAGCGATGGCTTTGTCCCTGATCTTCGCTACTCAATATGGTGTTTTTCCAGTATCTCCACTAATTATTGATAGTACAGCCGTTGCAGAGCTCTTGAAGCTGTAGAGGGTAAAATCTGCACTATACCACCAAACAGGTACCATACACTTTTGCAGCTGTAGATTGCGACTGTCCCCAATTATCGTGTAGAATTTATTTGTTACGAAAAGTTATAGCTCGTTTCAAGAATGGGTCGGTGTTATAAAAGCAAAACGAAGCAAACGTCTTTGTTTAAATTTTTACTCAGATGAGGTCGAACCTATTTGTTCAGCTTGTTTGCCCCATTAGTTAGACCTAATTGTACAGTTGAGCTATTTTTAGGTAAACCAAGCCCGAGCTCTAGCACCCGTACACTTCGAGGTGGGCCGTTGTCCGCCGCAGCTCTCAACCCTTCGTTGTTTGCCTTCACAAGGGTTTTTCACAAAAATCATCTTCAAGTTAAAATTTTTTTCCCGAAACTTTGTCAACCAACGGTTCACGATGTTTCCAAGGGTAAAACTTTCACCAAACAATGACGAGCTATTTTCGCCGCTTCAAGTTCCAAGATGGAACACATATTTGTAAACCACCCGAATTTTACACAGCTCAGTACGATCCGTTCGCTAAAAAAGCGCGAATGATGATGACCCGAGTAAACGGTCTTTTTTTTTTTGTTGACAAAGAGTGTAAATTCGTGTCGGATTTGAACAGAAGTGTTATAAATGTTGCACTGTTATAAAACAACTTCACCATAAAGACGAAATCAATATTTCTTACATTGCCCAGTAAATGACCTCATACTAATTATATTCACAATATTGTAACTGGCTGCCTTTGATTCATGAGTACTTACCAGTCGTGCAGCGATGTCTCCTGAACATCCTTTCGATATTTGCTTACCGCATTTATCGGGGTGATGGCAAAATAGCATTCAAGACAGTTTGGAGAGTTCAAGATACTGAAATGCAAATGTTTCCATTAACAAAAAAAATATGACAATTAACAGATTTAGCTAACATTGTAAATGCGAACATAGTCTAAATGAGACAAATTGTGCCATAGATCAACTAGAGCCATTACCAAATAAATCCTCCGAGGGTTTTTAGCGGCCGGCTGCAACGATCACAGCGGAAACAGATGTTATGCCATCTAAATCCGAAGATAGTTACCACCGTAGATTCTTGCTCATCCAGAACTTCTCTACTACAATACGGACACTGTGAAGATGCTTTTGTATTGATGACGCCACCTGCGTACATCATTGAATTCCCTTGGAAGCCCTGTAAAGCTTTAGGAAAAATATCAAGTAACTTTAAGCGCATCTGCCAGTAAACGCGACCGTAACTCCCATGAAAAAATATCACCAGTCGAAGGGAGACCTGACCATTTTAGATCTCCAAATAAGTTCTACTAAATTATGATCACGCCTTTGAAATCGGCATTTTAGATACGTTGTAAAATTGAATCACAAATCGTTCAACAGTACAAAGACGACAACTCCAAAAAAACTCACAGCCGAGTGATATCTTTAATAATTCAGATTGAACAGAAAATATAGGAATATATGCACACGGTCGCGTATAATCGCATGGATAACGTTCAACTTTTGCTGATTGACGCAATTGCGTGATGAACTGATTGCCTAAAAACTTAAACCAAATTATATACATATATATATGTACACGATGAGTGAGTTCTTTTAATTGTTAAAGGGTCTTCATTTTGTAAAAGTACCAACAGAGACACAAAAAAAGAGTGAATTTTGCTATGTATAGGAATAGTATTAGAGGACCCCTGTTACGATATGTTGCATATTTATGTGCACCCTTATTGTAGTATTTTGTGTCCCCTCTACTATTCACACAGATTTGGAATAAAAACCATTCAACTGCCAGAAGGCTTTTGACTCAATCTGCATATGCATGCATGCATGCATGGATGTATGTATGCACTACGAGCCAAGGCTGAACGAAAGTTGCGTTTGTGTTAAACTTCCATTAAAATAGTGTAATTTTCTATCGTAAAATCTATCTTCTTTTCAGAGTTGGATCCGATGAGCTAATAATGATGTCGTTTTTCTGCCCGTTTTGAAAAAAGACAGCAGTTCTACCACCAGCCTGCTGTCAAAAGGCGATGTGGTATATCAAGTTTCATTATCGGCAATTTTTTACATACTACCTGTATTACTTGTCTTCAGGTGGCGATTCTTCTTTTTGTCAAGAGGCGCTTGTGTTACGCGTTTAGAAGGCACAGTGGGAAACGTCCACGGCGCCCAACTGTCTTCAGTTCTATCGAATGAGGAGGTTTTTTGCTGTATCCCGCTTAACTGTCGATCTCGAAGAGCACGCCACAGCGGAAGTGGTTCCGAAAACACCTTCGAACTATACATGGTGATGATGTACTACACAAATTCGCTGATTGATTTTCGCTCGTGATGGCCAGGAGCATCGCCCTTTCTCGAAGGACAACTTCTCGTTTACGACTTTAGCGTGTCCTTGGGGCTGTGTCTTAAGTTATCACTTTTCTAGAAAAACGGCTCGAATTATCGTTTTTAAGAGATCATAGTACATGCCATATTAGAATGACATTAACACCACACGAAGCTTGCCTAGTGAGATAAACCTGCTCAAGTGTCGTCTGCAATTTGTTGACATAAACCATTTGTCGATATGTCGGTTAATCGTGCACTGGCCAAGCACATGGCGTGGGCGTGAGTTCATTTTCCGCGAAAAACGTTTTTGCGTTGCTGATCTCATCACATTCGCCCCTGAATCCAACGGGCCCTTCAACGATATGACAAATTAATTAAAAATATTCCCTGCCTTCATTTGTAATAACATTTCATGTTTCAAATTTCAAGCTATAGCTGTTACGTCTGTTACTGCCTCTGAACAATCTACAGGATCCAATTAAAAAACCTTCAGCCCCAGGGTTGTTAGCATGTAGAAATGCTCCCGCAGACTTCGTCGGTTAATTCGTATCGTATATGAACACAGAGGTTAATAGAAGGGTGCTCGAAAGGCTAGGTAACAGTTCGAGAACCCGGTAACATTATAAATGGACGCGAGAGCACAGTAATTAAAATGCGAGAATATAAGTGGACTGAGAAAAAATTGGAATGTTATCGATTTTGTGTGTTTAATTACAATTTTACCAAAGAAGCACGCTGAATAGCAAACCACGATTTGTTCTCAAGTTGAAACACATCTGTGCGCAAGAATTAAACCTGCGCAGTGCTACAGTATAAGTATGTATTTGCCACAGAGTATCCCGGCTGCCGGCAAAGTGAGGAGGTCGAAGCTATCACACCTAAGTGATCAGGTATGTTATTAAAGGTCCTTGCGCACCTACCAAAAAATCATTCTCTAAAAACTAACTCTTTCTGGAGCACGGCTCGTTCTCACTAGAATCACAGTTGCCTGGAATCATCTCGTTACCTATAATACTCTGTAATTTCTTGTTACATATGTGACCGCTGCGAGCATTCGCGTAACTATTTGCAGAGTTGACAATACTCACGTATATTATAAAATCTTTAAAACCAACAAGGGGCGATAATAGTCAATCGTTAAACAAAGTTTCAGACCCTGCGCCAAGTTGTCGCTGGCCAGCAGTGGTAGCCACCATACACCTCGCCTTCAAATTGATTTTCTTCCGTCTCATCACACCGCACGCATGAAGGAAGTAACCAAATGAAATTCTGCTCGGCTACCACCAGACTATTGGAGGGCCCCTACTCCCTATTCGAAGTCAAAGCAGGCGTACAACGAGCTTAGAGCGGCGCCGCGCGGCGTTCGTTGCGTTGAGTCAGCCAACACACGGAACTCACGAGGGGCTCGTGTCGCGCGAGAAAAGCTCAAGGACGAGACACCGCGGAGCCTGACGTCGCGACCCGAGCAGTGGCAATGGTAACACGAATTGAGCCATATGTCCAACAACACCCGGATGACAAGGCAGAATATCGAAAGTCAAATCAATAACGTACCAGAATCCAACTAATGAGTTAATGATTGTGCATATGTGTCTGCGTGATTGGAACTCGATAAATATCGACTATACTACAATAGCAATAGAAAAATATCGAAAATAGGACACCTACGTACACGGGCACGCAAAGGCTCTGCTTGATAGCCGCCCAAAGTAATACGTTTGGTTTTTAATGTCAAATAATGGCCGCCGTGCAGGCTGCACCGTGAAAATTCGGTTCCGTATTAAACAAGTTTTCAAATCACACGTGTTAGCCAGCTAATACACGATTGCAATACGAGTAACAACAAACTGAAATCTAGCTATTAAAAATAAGCTTGTCGTATAAACCACTTGTAGCACTGATAATAGCATCTGTAATATTGAAGGAAATATATTTAGGTTAAGACCTATAATGGTCGACATTTATCTGGGCTGATATGGAGAATAAACTCGAGCTGAATCGTACTGGCCTCAGCCAAGAAGTTCATCTATTGATGATACAGACGTTAAGTTGCTCTTACATAGTTTAATTTAGACATCCTTATTTTTTTTTGTCTTTGTTTTTTTTTAGTATTCTCATAAAGTTAACACCCTCATTAGTTCTATTTTGACTACTAGACTTTATGTAAATCAGGCACCAGCATTAGTATGTATACGACGAATGCAGTAGGTAAAGATCCCACGTTTATAGTTAGTGGTAAATAAGGTAGGTAACAAGATTAATGTAATTTATTTAAATGGCTTATTTAAGCGAAACGGAACGAGGTTACATTCTACCCTGAATGAGCTTTCGTGCAAGTATCGAAATTTAATTTTATTACTAAGCGCCAACGAAGTCTATTTTTCACTCTCCAATTTGGCTTTGTTTTTACGATTCGACCTCCGTTAGGCAATGTTCTGACATGTTATAGACCTTGTGCAAGATCTAGTCGATAGACTTCTATTTGACCTCCGACATCTATTTCCTAGCCACATCCTCTATTTCTTAAAAACATCTGTTCTCAAGGGCCCTTTGTCGATCTGATCATACACGATCTGCTTCATTTTCTTCAGTTGGTCATCGTTAGGCTTAGGATCTGAAGGAGGAATTCGTTTGAGAAGCAGCTTTTCAATTTTTGCTTCATTGCCGCTTCATCGGCCGTGGTCAGGGAAATCAAAACTAGAACACTGGCACAAGTCACCTTCATCATGGCTGACAGCTTGCACCGTCCCTTTAATACGAGCCGTTTATATAAGAAGAAGTTACAACAGGCGTAACGAATCGCGAGATTTTGTCCATGATACAGATGTTCGACAACGTTTGCGGAGAGCTGACGTGTGGTATGGTTCATGTTTAAAGACTCTTTCTGCTATTCTCTTTGTTTTTAGCTGTGTAGAGGCGTCTTCTATTTTTTAAAAAATCTTATAACGCTTACTTAACGCTGGTTCTACGAGCGTGCTCTATTCTACACATGATCCTCTATTCTATAGTGGTTTTCCATAGTTTGTATATCCTTCCTTTCCGACTCAAAGTGTGTCTAGTTTAAATGCCGTCTTGAACAACAGGCTTCACGTGTTGCGAAGCGCGGGGGCAAGTGCGCCTCTAACTTATTTTCGATAAACATTCTCGTCTTCTGAATTCTGTCTTTGAATCGCTCGAACGCTTTAAGCATAATAACTTAGTTTATATTTAAAATCAATTATAACATAACATGTTTTTATTTCGTTCATTCCTGAAGTTGTCGTTCTTGGCTCTGTCGAACCTAAACTCGAAATAATATTACTCCATTCAAATAAAGAGCTTTTAGTATGCAATATAATAATAGCAAACATTTCAGACCATTACTAGAAAGGGAAGGTACAATCTATTGAACAATTTATGTTTTCAACATAAGTACCGAATGGTCAGATGTATAGTAAAAAGTACAGTGACTGACGCCAATAGGTTGAATTTATTGCAACAATCTGTGATATTACGTATCCGGGAGGATTTTGTAGAAAATGGGAAATTTTTGTTTCCGCCTATACGTTATGGTTGACATAAAAGTCCATATCTCGATGAGAGCCGTCCAAGCATAAAGGCCCCGTAGAATACCTTGCCCGTCGCTCACACGAAATGCCAATGGACCTTTTCTTGTAAGGTACCTTGAATAGAAAGTCTATGGCAGAAAATTAGCAACACTTAAAAGCCAAAATTGAACAGGAAAGCGTCATAACATCAAACGCAATGTTGACTGAAGTTTACCTCATATCAGCCGTGTGGGTAATTGTGTTCAACTACGGTGGGTGAAAAATATATACAGTGTAATTTATATTATTATTTATCAAATGTAGATAAAAACGGAAGACATAATCATCTAAACCGTGTATGTATTTTTGGCCACCCATTTCTCTTAAAAAAATGTATTTCCAATACAACTCTTAAATAGCTTATGAGCTTGTATCAGTCATGTTCTATTGAATTTCTAGTTCAATTCTTCTAATAAAAGTTCTGTCCTCCTGAGATACTTATGAATTCTGTCATTCGGCTCAATGACGTAAGGGCTGTTTGGGTGGACATCAAACTAAATAACTCAGACATAATAATAAATAATTTGATAAGCAGGTATCGTTAGAGTATAAATATTGTTTTTAAATACACACTCGTCGAGATGTAACACTGTTACTTTATATTTTCGTAAAATATCTATTAGGCTGTGTAACGCTATTTTGGCTTTCTACTATTAGATCTATCCAATTGCATACATTTCTATCGACTTTTGAGACATTTTAAGATTCGTGCTTGCAAATCAATAGTGTTGTCACTGTGGAGAACTAGGCTACTGCTAATGCACTAATTGATTCCACCAAACTAAGGAATAAACATTCAGTCCATTTTAAACGGTTCCTTTCGGAAAAGATCGCAAAGGGTACTACAGTAAGGTTACATGAAGCAGCACTGAAATAATAATTTATCTCACAGGGTTTTTCTCAAACGGCCCACTGTCTTTCGGGCCAAACAGGGCCCGTTAATTTCTGTCAAGTAATCAATTAGATATGCCTACAGGCTTGACCTATACACTAAGGTAAAATCATACGCGTCACGAAGTAAGCCGCATAACGCTTTGTACAAAGGAGTCAGTCGTTCAACCAGTTCAGGGGAAAAAATGCTTTACTTTCAAAGACTAATTAGATTTTGAAAAGGAAAGATGATCCTTAATAATTAGTGGGTGATCGTGATCCGTTCACAAAAATTTCCTACTTAGCCTAGTTAAAAAGCTAACCCAGCCCAGATTTGTCTAGTAATTCAAGTACCAGCAACTACAGTGGTTATAAATAATTCTTGTAGAAGAGCTATATGAAATTGTTAATGGCAGGTCATATACGATAATTATGACTACCTAATATGTGATGTCGGTATTTTTCGATGATATTGTTTAGCCCCAATTATTAGACGTTATAGAAATTCGGTCATTATACTTTTAGAAATGAGACACATGTTCAACAAATATGTACCTATATGAGTATGTAAGTAGGCTAGATTGACGTACATCTGAGGTACATTAGTTCTCTCAACTTCTCTGTCAGATTTGCAATCAATTTTAACCTGTTTCATTTACGCTGGCTCATACGACTCCCGAGACAGACAGGCCAATTTGTATTGATCTTTGCAT